TCCTGTAGGAAGTAATCGAGCAAGGAGAGCTGGGACTGCTTCTTCACTTGGTGGATGGACACAGCGTTGACCACTGGCTCAATCATGCCACTGTCAGCCGAGATCACGAGAATCTTGTATGGCTTGATCCAAAGGGGCACTCGCTCCTGCTCCCAAATGGACTGTGAGGAGACAGGGAGATGTGGGACCATCACTGCTCCACTCCACCAACAGGGCTCCTTCCAAACAGAGGAAGGGCGGGGGCCACGCACGAAAATTCCCTCTGGCCCCACCTCTCCTTGGAGGCTCGGAATTCTAGGCAACCCTGTGAGTCCGATCTACTGATCAGGATGTCTAGGGTCTGACAAAGATGTAGGAAATCACACTCAGAGGTCCATGGGAAAGGTCCACATACACAGAAAAATCACAGAGAAGTAGGAAGAATAGAAGCTTTTCAGAGAGAATAGCACTATTAAGATGAGCAAAAATAAGAAGAAAAGCAGAAAAGAGCCCACATCCAGAGAAAGCATCTCAAACAATGAAAATATTTATGTAAATAAGGAAGTGGATGACAGCTGGAGTTGCTTCTAGGTGGCCAAGCCGGGTGCACTGGGCAGCCACATCTCAGCACACCTGTAGCCCAGGTGCCAGGTGCTGCACATCAGTTAGAAGGGTGTAGTTTACAAACTGGCCAAAAGAGGTCGCTGTGGGACCGTTCCCATGGCTGTGCTTCCCAGGGATGGGGCCTCCAGTTGAGTTGGATTCAGCAGTGGTGAGACAGGCCCCCCCCCACCCCCCGCAGAGCTCTCAGCAGAACCAACCACCTGTGCCGTCCGTCCTCTCGTGGTGAGAAGGGGGCAGGGAGCAGGGAGCAGGGTGGGGCCAGGCCGAGTGCCTCTTCCTTCTCCCTTTCTCATACCTGCAGTTGCTTCAACACCTGGAAGGCCAGCAGCTCCTGCCGAAGGTCGTCCCCGCACTTGACAATGACCGACAGGAGCCGCCAGTTGGGGAGATGCCCGTAGGGAGAACCCTCTCGAATCCGCCTGAGGAAGAGAAGGGTGGTGGTCGGGGTAAGTCCACGGTTGAGGGCAGGGCAGTTTCCATCCCAAGCCTCAAACCATCACCACACAAAGCAATGACTTCAGGGGGGTGGGGTGGGGTGGGGTTCCAGTGTCTCCTGGTTTGTCGCTGTGCAGGGACTTTGGGAGGATGAGGGACAGCAGACTACAGCTGGGCTTCAAGAGCCCCGCAGCCAACTCACCGTACTTTCTCCTGCCAGGGCTCTTTGAGCGCCACTGCCGACGGGTCTTCTGGGTCCCTTTTGAAGGCGGTGGGGGTGTGAGCCAGCTGTTCTGAAAGGCGCCGTCTAGTAGGAAGAAAACACAGCATTTGCCGGGAGGAGTCACCCAAGCCCCACACTCCACACCCCGACGACCACGATGATGACGATGACGATGATGACGGCAGCTGGAGTGGCACGTCCTTGGCTCTGGGTGCATCAGAGCCTGGCGGTGAGAGCGACTGACAGAGAAACATACCAGTGACATCCTTGGCTATCTAGGTGGTTTGCAATCATGTTAAAATGCACATTTAACACATGTTAAAAGGCCTGACCCCATTATGCCACACAATTGATTGCGAATGGAGTAGGAATCTGGAATCTGCACTTTACACAGACTTAGTTGCCTCCCTGGCTCTGAGACACTCCATCCCTCAGCCCCACTTTGAGAAACACTGCTTCGATTCTCTCCCCAGGGCTTCCACCCCTGTGGGGCCCTTTGCAGGATGAACTTCCTTCGGCAGAAAGCCCCCAAGTTTCTCAAGCTTCACCTCACTGCCGCGTGCCTGTGACCATCAGGACAAGTGAGAGTGAGAGAGAGACAGAGGCAGGCTGACACAGAACAGATGGCTCAGGCACAGATGGTGGGGACCAAGAGAGAGGCGGTGCTGGAATTGGAATGGAAATCGAGGGGCAATGTGATCCATCAGGTCATACCGGATGTCCCCTGCTGCAATGAACACAGGCTCCTTGCTCTCCTGGCTGGTGATGCTGTCCACAGAGAACTGGGAGATGTTGTCACAGCTGTTGGTGTGCACTTCAGGGAGCTGGGGAGAGCAGGGGGCAGGTCAGAGGGCCCAGCACAGGCCCCAGTTTGTGCACCTCCTCCTCAGGTCATCTCCTGATTGTCTGGGTGCCACCTTCAGGCCATGGTCACCACCTCGCTCCCAAGTTCTAGTAGAAAAAGCTTTCCCTGGCGACATGCCATCCCGACCACCTCCGTGCTGACAAGTCCCTGCAGCAGTGTTTCTCAAAGTGCCAACGACCCGCACTAGAACGCTGGCCAACATGCAGGCTCTCAGCCCCACCTGCCTTCCCAGAAATACTAGGGGTAAGTCCTGGGAATCTGAAATGTAAACAAGTTTTCCCAAAGTCTCCCCCACCCCTCACTAAGGTTCGCAAACCACTACCATGGCTAGCATAGAAACTTGCCCTTTCTCACGTGGAGTGCTGCCCAGAGCTGGGAAGGCTTTTTCTGTGGCAGTGTAGGAGATGGCTTCCCAGAGTAGGTTCCTCTGGTCATTTTGCCATGCTAAGCCACTGTGGTAGTTATGTTATCTGTTGTCAACTTGAGAGGATTACGAGGGATGGAGTCTAGCCTGTCAATCATAGTATAGCCAATGAGGTCTGTGTGGGTGTGGCCATCTCCTGAGGATTCTGGGAATTCCTGCATTCCACACTGGAGGCAGGAGACACACTTTCTCTCAGTTCACTCTCTGAGAGATTCTCTACTGACAAGTCACATGGCACTCTGTTGGGAACTGGAGGAGCCACGTGGAAAACCACGCCAGCACTGAGATGCTTACAATGCCACTGGATCCACAAGACTTCCCACCCACTGGCCTGTGATCTTCTATATTCGGCATCATTGCATGTGTCTTGTGAGTCTGAAGAGGACTTTATAGATTGGTATTGGACATATGGGCTAATATCGGACTTATGGACTTGATCTGGACTGGGCTGGGATGTTTTCTCAATATTCAACTCCTCTTATACGCGTCTATGAATTTGTTTCTCTACTCTACCCGGACTAACACAGCCACCCAAGCTCCCCGACTCCCATCTTTCTCGAACAAAAGAATGTTCTACCGGATCCTCCTGTCCTTTCTTTCTCCTTTGGACCACAGTGTTTATCTGCCTTTCTCATCAACGGTCGCTTGTCACACACTGCTACATTTTACCACTTTTTTGTTTGTTTGTTTTACATGCCCCTCCAATCTCAATTAGACTGCAGAGACTGTCTTTACAGAAAGTGGTATGTGACTGTGACGTGGCCTTGCACACAGTCCTCCTCTGCTTTCCTGCTGCCCCAGGACCAAGTCCCCATCACTCTCTAGTTTTCAGTTCCTCCCTCTGCTTGGACCCAGCAGCAGCCTTGCCAACTCATTTGTCACTGTGCGCACCTCCCCACATGCATCCCAGCCAGAGATGGTTCTCTGGGTTCCTGAAATGCTCCTGGCTCTCTTGGGCCTTCCAGTCTCTGTGTGTGCTATTCCCTCTGCCTGGAAAAATTCTTTTCCCTACCAATCCTTCAGGCCTCAGCGGAGATGTTGCTTTTTCCAGGAAATCTCCTGTGACTCCCTCCCAAGCTTGGTGTAAGTGCTACCTTGCCCTCAGGGCACCCACAGGCCCCACCCTTGCTCACACCATCCCATAAAGAGCTGCTCACTCCTTTGTTCTCTCCCTGTCAGGTCCCCACCTCGCTGCTGCAGACGGGGCACACTGCACTCAGTTCTGGCACAAGGGCGGCCCTCAACAAATCTCTCTTCACTGACTGAATGTACGTGCACTGTAATCATGGCCAGCAGGCCCACTTACTCCCGAGGTCTAGAAGTTCTTCTTCACATTGAACTTGAATTCCTCCTGCGGCACTGCAAGTCCACCCGAATTGACTCCACACCAGAACGGTTCAGAGCACCACTCTTTTGCACACTTGCCTCAGCCTGCCTCGGGGTGTGTGGTCTTGTCTCAAACACATGGGAAATTCTAAGAGAACAGGCCCTGGGTCCCGCTCTTTCCTTCCCGGGAGCGCTTTCCTCACCTCCACCTGCAGCTCCCCTATGTCGTCGACCGACCAGGCCTCATCATCGTTGTCGTAGTTGGGCACGGTGCTGAAACTGCCTGCGCGCTGCTCATGGGTGATCCCACACTCGGGCAGGTTCTCCACGGACCGTGTGCTCCGAATTCTGTTCTCAGGGATCCGGGCAGGGACACTGGTGGTGTCAAAGTTTTCACATTCAAGGACTTCCACATAGATCAGGTAGGGAGCCTGCAGGGGAGGGGCAGTAGTTGCAGCTCATCACACGCTCTTCTGCAGTACAAGTCCCCTCCCATCCTTGTCCCACCGCCCCAACACTCTGCATGCTGCTCTCAGGGCAGGGCAGGGATTGAGATGGGTGAGGAGTTACACAAGCCTTCAAAATATATCAGCTGAGCTTCAAGATGTATGGCTGAGGCACCTGAGCAGAGCCAATTCCCAGAATCATTGACAGCCCAGTAGAGAGGCCCCGAAGCTTTGGACTTGCCCTGAAGACGGGAGCCAGAGGCTGGTGTGAACAAAGAGTCTGGGAAAAGCTGGGCACAGTCCAGAAAGAAGAATCCAAACCAGGCAAACTCCATCAAACAATGAAACCAGCTAGATCTCTCCAACGTGAATCCGACATCCTTCCCTCCCTTACCACTAACGGAAAAACAGGCTTAGAAACACAGAAAGTCTTCCCTTCCTGCATTGTTACAGTGCCTGGGAAGCCTAAGAGTTAGAGGGGGTTCAGAGCAATCACATGGTCCACAAAGACTGGCGAGTGACTCTCCAGTATGGCGGGAGGTGAGCTACCAAGACTGGGCTTCTTTGATCCAGA